GTCTCAGGGCCCTCTTGGGGTCGTCTTCTTGGGGCAGGCGCAAGCAGTAGCCGAGCGCGAACGCACGCGCGCCCAAGTGCTTCTTTGTGCCCGGGCACAGATCCCGCGCCCGCGCCAGGCCCGCGCGCAGGCGGGCAAGGCGGGCCCGCGGGCCTCTTCCCGCGTTCGCTCCTCCGACGCGCGCAGCCCCACGAGAAGAGCGCGCGCGCTCGTTCTCGGCGCGCCGCCCCGCGAGGAGGGCGGCGCGCGCGCACCGCCCCGCGCGCGCTGGTCTGACTGCCCTTTGCCTGTCCGGCGGCTTGCGCGGTCGCGGCTCCGTGCAGGCGCGCCGCGGCGATCAAGCGTGCGGGGCAGGTTGCGGCGCGCCTCGACGCGAGCGCGCGCGTCGTAGGTCTCGCTGCGGAGCGCCGCCATGGCAGGCGCATTCGCTTCTGCCTGTCGTCGCGGCTGCCTGTCGTGGCTGCCTGTCTGGCTGTGGCTGTCCCTCGCGGCTGCCCGTCGCGGCTGTGTGGCCGTCGTGTCGTGGCTGTCTGGCTCGGCTGCCTGTCGTCGCTGTCTGTCGCGGCTGCCCGACGTGGCTGCCTGTCGCGGCTGTCGTGTCTGGCTGCCGCATCGTGGCTGTCTGTCGTGGCTGCCTGTCTGTGGCTGCCTGGCTGGTCGGCCGTCGCGTCGGGGCTCTCTGGCTGTTGCGTCGTAGCTGGCGGGTTTCCCTGGCTGCCTGGCTGTCTGGTTGTCGTGTCCTGGCTGTCTGGCTTTCGCGTCGTGGCCGTTTGGCTGTTCGTGTCGTGGCTGTCCGTCGGTCGCGGGCGTCGCGTCGCGGCTGTCTTGCTGTCGTGTCGTGCCTGTCTGGCTTGTCGTTCGCCGCCGCGCGCGCGCGCGCCTGTCGCCGCTCTTTTCTCCCGCGCAGGTTCCCTCCCCGCTCCCTCGTCCGCCAGACGCGGGTGCTTTTCTCTTCGGCCACGACATGCTCCTCTCGTCTGTTTTGCTGGCTCGAGGTCAGGTCGTGTCTTCCGCCGTTGGCTGGCCCACGCGCCCCCTCTGCTCGCGCATGGCCCTTGGCTTGCTTTCGCGCGAGCTCGCTCTGCGCGTTTCGGTCCGTCTTCTCGCAGGCGCCGTCGGCCCGTCGGCCCCAGGGGCTAGGCGCGACCTCGGCTCTTGCGAGCGGCGCGGCCCCGCTCTTGGGGCGCTCGCGAACCAGGCTCCCCCCTGGCCCCACCCGAAGTTGTACTGGATCAGTCTTCTATGTATGCAGGTAGCCGTTGTATCAGCATCAGTACAACTATAGATGCATGTAGATGTGTATATATAGATGTGCGTATATGCACGCGGCGTTCCAGGAAGGGCCTCGCCTTCAATGATCGAAGGAGTTGCCATGTCTTCCGCGGCGGAGAGCGCCGGAAGGTCGGCGGAAGGAAAACAGGGGTGAGGCCGGCGGAAGCCGTCGAAGAAGAAAGATGCATCCCCGAGAGATGGGAACGTTTTTGGGTTCAGGTCTTGCGGAATCGGCCATGGTTTCAGATTCATTGGCAATCGGAATCGGCCATATGTATGTGTATGCGTGTGTACATGTATACATATATAAATGTTCGTGTAGTTCGATGCATATACACATACATACAGACAGACAGACAGACAGACAGACAGACAGACATAACTACATAAATACATACATACATACATACATACATACATACATGCATGTATGTATACTTACGTAGATAGATTCACAAGTTTGGGCCTCTAGGGCTCGCCCTCTAGGCCCCGAAGACGGCACAAGAGGCCTCCAGAAGAGCGCTAGCACGGACCCCTGGGATTATCTGAGGGAGTGTTTTGGCGGCGCCCACAGAGGGTGCCGCTGGACGGGGGGGAGCCTCTAAGAAGGCGGGGGGGGGGCTCCTGAGAAGGCATGGGGCCTTATGATAAGAGCCTGGGGGCACTAGAATGCTTCTCAGAAGCCGGGCGGACTTCTAAGAAGCCACCCTCTTTTCTTAGAAGCCCCGCCTTCTTCTTGGAAGCCCCCCCCCCGCGCCACCCCCTTTGTGAACGCCGCCAAATGTTGAGGTTCAGATTCCCAGCCGCACTCCGAGCCCCGAGGGCGCTCGGAAGACCGAAGAGCGTCCAGGGTCTTGGGTCCGCTGGATCGTTTCTCGAGTGTCCAGCACTGAACAGTCAGAGGGGCCTGAGGACTTTCCACCTCGGTGCCTCGCGGCATGCCAGCGGATGCAGCTGTTGAGTTCTTGAAGGCACTGACGAATGGGAGCATTCAGAAGCCAGCCAACTTCGTCGGAGCCGTGGATGTCGACAACATCGGCCTGGTCGGTCACAGCATGGGAGGTGAAAACACGATCAGAGCAGCAGCTGGCGTGCGAGTGCCTCCCGGCATGCCTCCGCTGCCAGCAGGCGCCATGAAGGTTGCCATCGCGCAACACCCCTCGCTTTGCACGTTCCCGCCTCCGTACCCATACACGATCAGCAAGGCTGAAATCAGCAGCGCGAGCCTCAATGCACCCTTGCTGCTTTTCACTGCCGAGAATGACCGTGCGTTCTTGCCAGGCACGCCAGGTAAGGAGCACACCTGCTGGAAGGCGGCCACGGGCCGTTCCCTGTTCGCGAGCTTCAAGGCGTCTGTCTGCGGGAGGTACCCGTCCTGCAGTGTTATGACAGGCGCCGATGGCTGCGCTGCAAAGGTCGCCGTGGTGGGCAGCGGCCACATGTGCGCCTGCGACGCACCGGGGTTCGACACGTGGACAAGCCCAGAGCTGAAGTGGGTCACGACTGCGCTGCGCCTGTACCTCCATCACAACGCGTCGAGCGTCTGCGGCGCCCTGCTGTGGGGTGGCGGAGACCAGTCGCTGAAGCGGGACCCAAACGTTGCCAGTGTGGAAGAGGTTGGTTCCCCCCAGATGTCTGTAGCGCCGTTCGTGGTGTGATACTACACGAATGCGCACAAATTCCAGGTCATCGTCGCTACTGCCGTGTTTGTAATAGCCATCACAATTATACTCAGCATTACCGCCTTCATCATGATCTGATCTGTAACAAGAGTCAGGGATGAGGGTACACAAGGGAATAGCAAGTAGTGGCCAAAGTTTATTCGCCCATGCATGTACATCTGGGACGCCTTACAGTGCCACACTGGGACAATTCTGTGGCTCCGAATGAGTTGTTTGGACTATGGCCCCGAACAACTGCTGCGCGCTGCCGGCTCGAGCAGCCTGGCAGCTTTGCAGCGACAGGACGTGCAGACAGCAACGCGCGGTACGAGCTTGCTATAGCACAGAAGCGCTGTAGCGTTGTAATCAGCATTTTAATACTGTCGAAGGCCACCCCCCTGCCGAAGGCCACCCCCCTTGTCTCCTCCACAGGGGGGACCGCCCGGGGTGGGGATCACGACCCCGGGGACCTCCCCAGAACCCCGGCCGGGACACCCCCCAGATTCCCCCCGAGACCCCCCCCGCTCCCAGGACCTCCCCCCCCCCCGAGCGGGAAGGGATCCAAGAGAAGGGGTTCCCCCTCCATATGTTCAGGACACCGTTCGATGTCGTAGGGGTTGGAGTGTTGCTGGGGAGCTCCACGTCCCCTCTCGCTCCGGGTGTTGGTCAGGAGCGCCCGGGAAGGAGGAGGATAGCGACGACGACGACGACGACAGCGACGACGACAACGACGAACGGAAAAGCGTCCCACACACACACACACACACACACACACACACACACACACACACCGACAGGGTCGACGGATTCTGGTCGCGATGCTGGAGGTTTGGGTTTGAGAACGCCTTGGGACTATCCCGACATGTCTGCCGAAGTCAGACTGGGCCACCTCCGAGGGGTGTCTGTACGTTCAGCCTCCAGGCCTCGCCACTCCCGCTGCACACGCCAATGCCCAGCGGCTGACAAAGACTTCCTTTGGCGGCCGCACCCCCACGTTGCGACCAGAGGGGGTGCGCGGTTTGGCCCTCGCATTGCTCGTGCTGCATCCTCTCCCTACTGGGTGCGAAGAGAGGATGCCTGCTAGCTTCGCCTCTGCGCTTCCACCCAGACTCGGTCGCGCCTCAGGCTGCTCGCTCCGCCTCCATCTCCGCCTCGCGTGAGGTCACCGCGTCGTCGTACGTGAGATCCCTCTTTCTCCGTCGCTCACACAGTCAGCATTGATCGCAAGGATGCGTGATTATCCGAGGCTTCCCTTGCATCCTTCCCCTTCGGCCCATCCTTGGCCGCTTTCGTTGGCCGCGCCCCGCTCCAAAAGTGCAGGCATGGCCTTCTGAGGCCCTTGCATCCTTATCGCGCATCCTTGCTATTAGCGTTGACTGCGTCTCTCCTCCGAAGTTTTGTGTTCGTGGCGCAGCCCCGCCGGGGGCCTCGACCCCTTCCCCAACAGGGCACGCTTCAGCGCCCTCCGCCAGTTTTTTGCTGAGCGCCACGGGGCCGAGAGCGGACTCTCCGGGTGCCGAGAGAGGCGAGGTAACGGGCCGCCAAGACTGCTGTCGGGGGGGCAGCGCCCGAGTCTGCATCAGGGGCAACGTTCGATGGGGGATAGGCTCAGGGGGCGAACGCATCGACCCCCAATCGCCCACTCGTCGACCACAGGGGTCTGATAGCCCGCCCCGCCCAGGAACCTTCGGTTTCGCTCTCGGGGGCCTGTCGCCCATCTACCGACGATGTGCCGCCGTCCATCTTGTTCGCGTCACGAGGGTTCCGTACTGGAGCGGCGGTCATGGCAAGCACGGTGTCACACAGCCCCGTTGGGGCACGGGGCCAACACGGGGTCACACAAGCCCCGTTGGGCTCCCGACGGCCCCCCCCGAGGGTCCCCAGGACGGGTCACAAGATGCCCGCCAACACGGATGCGTGACTGCCGCGAGATGGCATCGCTACAACATGGACGCGGCCGTCTTTCAGCGATGCATCGCTGATTCCTGCTCAATGTTCCCCCCTCTGAGCTGCTACCCCATTAGCGTTGCGCCTCATTGGAAGGATCTGTTCTGCCCGCCGCCAAAGGAGAAGCAGGAGCAGGAGGACTGGGCCCGGCAGAAGGCCCTGTCGGCGAGGTGCCCAGGGGTGTGGACGAAGAGGGCGAGGGTTGTTGGGATGGACGCGGGGGTGGCTAAGGGGGTAGGAGGCTATCAGTAGTAGATCCCAAGGCGGGCTGCATCTGGCCTGACCTAGCTTATAAGTGCGTCGCCCCGAGACAGCGCCAGCGCGGAGAGGCGCCCTGGACTCGCGACGCGCAGGGCATCTTCCGACACCTGCGCCGCAGATTGAACTAGTCGCCTTCGCTCGCTCTTCTGGGGTGCCGGGCGCGTCGCTTCGAGGCTACCCTCAGTCGCGTCGGGCCAACGACGTTGCCTTGCGCTTGGGCAGCCGTGCTCAACGCGCTCCTAAATAATTGGGCTGCCAAGCCAGCGTCGCCGAGTCTCTGCGGCCGCCAGCATGGACGCGACGATCTCCGCTGCGACGTCTATCGCCCCGTCGCCCCGCGGCCCCACCGCGCGCAAGTGCGCCTCCACCAAGGCCCCACGTCATCGAGGCTGGATGAATGCTCGTTGCTGGTCGGAGCGCCGCCGCGCACGTCGGCGCCCCGCGCTTCGGGGTCGCGCTCGACCTCCAGGGCCACCCAGCGAGGCGCGGCACCGGCAGGCCTCCGCCGCGGGCGCTCGGCCGCAGGCGCCGGCAGACTGCGCGACCATCCGCGACCCCCCGGCCGAGCACTTCGCCGAGCGGGCCCGCCGGGGCAGCAGCGACGCCCACAGCATCCTCTACTTACGTCTGAGTACGGACGTGCCCAGGCCAATCTGCCCCCGCCCCCCCTTCTCCCTGCGACCCTTTCTGGCCCGCTTCCACGCGCGCCCAGCCGCGCCCCGATCAGGAATCATTCTCGGATGGCAGAGAACGCGCCGTTCGAGCCCGCCGAACGGCCCTGCGCCCCAGGCGCCCTTCAGTCCCGCCTTGGTTCAGCCCCCTTCGCCCCCTCATTTGGTTTTCCGTCGCGGGTGGCCTCGCGCGCGCGGTATCCTCGCAAGCTCCCGGCGCTTGCTGGGCGACCACTCTACGGTCCAGGTATGTAGCCCTCTGCCACCCCCGGCATTGCGCACTGCGAATTGCGTCGCCTAGTGCGACCTCCTTGAGAGCATGCTTATGGTCAGTGGAACGTTTGAACTTGCTGGAGTCGGCTGGCGCCAGCCTGGGATTTGCCCTGTTCTATCCGCCTTCTTTCTTTTCCCCGCCCCCCGCCTCCTCTCGTCGTACCGGTCGCATGTGTAGTCATTGGTTGTTCGGGGCCTCCCCAGGGGATTTTTGCATGTTACACGCCCGATTCATGTTTCAAACGACGGTTGACCGCAAGAGTTTGCACGTCGCAGGTCGGCTCTCGCGGAGTTCTTGGATTGTCAGGCGACCGTTTGATTCGCACTATCGCTGTTGCCGGTACGTGTGAAGCTTTGTGGTCGCGGTCTCACGGACAGTTGCTTTTGTTGGCTCTGTCCGTTTAAAGGAGCAGGATTTGTCCGCCTGGGCCAACGCCAGCAGCAAGCAGCCACCGAATCGTGGTTTGACCATGGGAACTTCGCGACTGTTTCCAATTGTTCTCCTTCCCAACGAAGCATTCCGACGCTAGGGCCCCACATGAAAATGTCCCTGGTGGTTTTGAAGTAACCCTCCTCGTCGTCCCCGTGACAGTGGAGGCCTTCTTCCTGTCTCCCCATTCGCCCTTCCCTCTTCGCTCTGCTTCACCCCGCCCCCTGCTCGCCGCCTTCCTCCTCCTCCTCTTCCTCCTCCTCTTCCCCTTTCTTCCTCATTTTCTTGTTCCTCCTCCATTTTTCCATATAGATAACCCCTCCGTGTCGCACCCCGCGACCAGTCGGAATGGCGGGCTGGGCGTTTCGCCTGAGACGCCTTCGCCACAGATGACCATGATGTTGAAAATTTGGCAACAGCTTCACGGATGGAGCGACGGTGGTTTTCAAAATGTGGCTTTCGTCCCAGCGCCACGCACACTTGTTTTCCGATCGTACCCCTTTTGGGGGGTATATCTTTCTTCCCTGCAGGCCAGGCCCCGGCAAGCGGTGGGGCGGCCGCGGACCGTCGGCCTGGCCAGCAGCGGCAGCACTGATCGGCGGCAACCCGACCCCAAGAGGGACGGACAGGGGACCGACCGCGACGACGACGACGACGACGACGACGACGCCGACGGCGCCGACGACGACGACGACGACGACGACGACGACGACGAGCGAAAGCGAGAGCGAGAGCGAGAGCGGGGCCACGAAGGGCAGGAAGGGGGCCACGAAGGCCGACAGCGGGGCCACGAAGGGCATGCGCATGGGGCCACGAGGGGCCACGAAGGGCAGATAATGCGGGGCCACAGAGGGCAACGACTAGGCCACGGAGGGTAGCAACGGGGCCACGTAGGACAGCGAGGGGCCCACAAAGGGCGACAGCGGGGCCACGAAAGGCATGCATATGGGGCCACGACAGGCGCGAACTAGCGGGGGCCACGAAGGGCATGCGCAGATTGGGCCACCGAGGGCAAGGACGGGGCCACGAAGGGCGACAGCGGGGCCACGAAAGCATGTTCATGGGGCCACGACGGGCGCGAACGAGCGGGGGCCACGAAGGGCATACAGATGGTGCCACGACCACGAAGGGCAGCGAGGGGGCCGCGAAGGGGTGCAACGGGGCCACGAAGGGCAGCGGCCACGAAGGGCTGCAACGGGGCGTGGGAGGACAGCGAAGGGGCCACGAAGGGCTGCAACGGGCCCACGAAAAGCAGCGAGGCGGCCGCGAAGGGCTGCAACGGGGCGGGGCAACGAAGGGCAGCGAGGGCGCCACGAAGGGCTGCAACGGGGCCACGACGGGCAGCGAGGGGGCCACGAAGGGGTGCAACGAGTCCACGAAGAGCAGCGGGGGGGGGTGCAACGGGGCCACGAAGGGCAGCGAAGGGACGGGACCGCGAAGGGCAACAACAGGTCCACGAGTCAATTGCTGGGAACTCCAACGCAAGAACGCGATTTCCGAGCACTAAATTGCAAGCGAATCAAATTGCAAGCAAGTCTCCAGCGAGCGCACGACTCCAGAGCGCCGGGAAAGCGATGTTTAAGAATAAATTGCAAGGGGGTTCAAAGCGAGAGCGCGACTCCTGGGTAAAATGCGTGGCAGTCTCAGGCGGGAGCGGGGATCCTGGCTAAATCGTGAGGAAGTCTCAGGCGGGAGCCGTTGTTGTTGTAATACGGAGGCCAACAACGCAGCTTGAGCCTTCAATTGAAAAAAAAATGGTCACCGGAGGGGGGATCAGCAATAATTATGTCAGTATTGAGAGTTCAACAACAACAACAACAACAACAACAACAACAACAACAACAACAACAACAACAACAACAACAACAACAACAACAACATCAACAACAACAACAACAGCAGCAGCAGCAGCAACCACAACAACAACAACAACAACAACAACCACAGCAGCAACCACAACAACAACAACAAAAAGGGCAAGAAAAACGTGTCACGGATTACGGGCGGGTGGTTTTCAACATGTGGTTATCGTTGTAGCGCCGATCACATTTGTTTTTTATGTGCAAAAGCTTCACCGATTGAGGGTGGTTCGTTGTCAAAATGTGGTTCTCGCCTTAGCTCAACGGTTGCAATAGTTCAATTAACTAGCATTGCGTTCTGGAACGATTCAGGAATAGTCAGGATTATCAAGGCGCAACAGCTACGTTGATTCGCGGTGTTGAAGTTCCAGGAACGGTGTTATGGCACGATCCGGGATCGACAAGACGTAACAGTCAGGTTAATTCGCGGCGTTGAAGTCCTGAGAACTGTGTTTTGGCACGCTTCATGATGTCAACACGGTTGTCCCCCAACGGGGGACTTTTTTCAGTAGACGTGACCTTTTTTGTAGGAGCCTGCGAAGAAGGATGTTGGAGACAGAGAGTGTATTTCAACATCGTTGATGAGCCTTGGATTTACATTGGTCCTCCTCCCCCTCCTCTTCCCCCTCCTCTTCCTCCTCCTCCTCCGATTCATCGTCCACTTCATCCCCTTTCCTCCTCTTCCGCCTGCGCCTCCGCCTCCTCCTACTCCTTCTCCTCCTCATCCTCCTCCTCCTCCTCCTGCTCCTCCTCCTCCTCCCCCTCGTTTTTCCTCCTCCTCCTCCTTTTTCCTCCTCCTCCTCCTCCTCCTCCCTCCTCCTCCTCCTCCTCCTCCTCCTCGCCTTCATCCTCAACTCCCTCGTCCTCATCATCCTGCTCGTCCTTGTCCTCCTCCTCCTCCTCCTCCTCCTCCTCCTCCTCCTCCTCTTCCTCCTCCTCCTCCTCCTCCTCCTCCTCCTCCTTCTCGTCATCCTGCCTCTTTTCCTCGTGCACGTCCTCCCCCGCCCACCTTGCGCGGGCACGCGCGTCGATTTTCGTAGGCGCCGTCGCCGCCGCGGCAGGCTGGGGCGTTCCATTCGGGATCCCTGGAAATCCCGACCCTTTCAACAGAGCCGGCTTTGCATCTTGGGTCATCTTTTGACGGTCCCAGGGGCCCGGTCAAATTAAATGCCTCGATCGTTTTCCAGGCGTTGCCTTTTTGGGGCCCCCGCTTCCTGGCGAGTCGATCCGTCGGCTGGGGCCGCGATTCCGACTCGGTTCGGTTCACGGGCCTCGGCCGGGGACAGCCGGAGCCGGGCGCGACGGCCTGGCTCCGAGTCGACTTGGGACGACTTGTCGGCGATGCGATCCAGCGCGGTCCGGCTCGAGATTTCACGGTTCGATCGGGGGGGGGTCCACTGCCTCCCCAGACCCCCGGCTTCATGATTTTTGTCCCAGCGCCGACCCCCAGCGGTCTCGACCCACTCCTTTGGACCAGTTCTTCAGCTTGGATACGGCGTGGGCGTTCATTCAGGAATGTGCCCCAAAGGGGTTCAGACCCTACATGATTCCTCATCTGGTGAGGGCGACGGTGAGATCCACGGCCAAGTCTCAGTTGGTGCTCTACTGGCTTCCAGATCCTGGATTCCTTATCCAATGGTGAGGCCGAGAACCGCGAAAGTTTTTCCGTCGTGGCTTGTTCGCGGCGCGAGGAGGCATCTGCAGGGTCCCAGACGCCCGACATCACCATTTGCTCATGACGTCGGCCCCCAGGGGTCTCGACCCGTTCCCCAGGACTGGCTTCTCATCCCGAGTGGCTCCGGGGCCCGGCAGGGGCCGGTGGAAGCCGAAGACGAAAAAACAGCAAACTCGCGTCGTGGATCTTTCACGACCCGAGGGGATCTGGGGCCCTGAGCGCGGCCGAGGTACGGCAGCACGCGGCCCGCGGCTGGCCAGTGGAGCGAGGTCTCGCCGCGCCGCGACGCCCTCAACCCGTTCGCCTCGGGCGGCCAGAGGCGGGCGCCCGCCATCTGACCTCCGACGCTGTGATTTCCCAGACATCTCTGTCGGGCACGGAGAGAGCGCCCACCCCGACAAGTCGACTGAGGAAATCTGCACTGGTTCGCTCGACACCGGCACTCGAGTGCACGGGAACAGTCCCCAGTCAGTCTTTTTCGCTGATCGACGTGTGTCTCGCTGGATACATCCGCCTGGTTTTGTACGTCGGAATGCGATGCCGTGCGCACGTGGAGCGCCCATGGCAGATTTCACTAAAGGGCGTTTTGCGAAAGGGGGGTCCGTCCACCCCCGAATCTGGCGTCTCGCAAAAATCGGAACGAAGGTTGTTCACATTTCTCGGCCTCTCCTGACCCTTACGGGAGGACCTGTAGTGGACCGAGTCCGGAGTCGTCTTTTGACGGTCCCGAGCCGGAACCATCAAAAACCGATTCAGGTTATGATGTTCCAACCTACTTTAGCCTTGTGCACCAGAAAGAATTTCGAGCACCAAGAAAAAACTGAATTTGAGGATTTTCACGTGTCGGGCCCTACTCGTTCGACATTGTTTCGATATTGTTCTGGGTGCTCGAAATTATTTCTGGGATGTGGTCCTTAAGTACGATGGGGGCAGCATAAGATTCAGGATGAAAAACGGGTCCTGGGGACGTGGTCGAGAGGTCGGGGGGGCCCGTGTCTCGAGAAGACCGAGACGCCAGATGGGTTGAGGTCAGGAGCGTTGGCTCAGTCTTAAGTCGGGCGTGTCCCTCTACAGGAGGAAAGTTCAAAAATAGTAAACAAACTAGTCTGGGTGCGATGCTTTAACTATTTTTGAAGGTGTTGCGAGTATGTGTTGACTATTTTTCATTTTTCGTCGAGAATCCGCCTGTAGGAGGACACGCCCGACCTGAGCTCAGCCTGTAGCGCCGCCTGTTCCGGCCCACCACGCTGCGGCGCAGCAGGCCTACCACGTCTCGCAGGGCACGGCGTGCCGCCGGGGCCGCCGCCGCGACACGCTAAGCAGAAGTTTCGGGGGCGGACAGAACCCCCAACAGTGACACGTCGATTAGTGAATTGTCCGTTTTCGGTTCTCGAGATGGCGCCGCGGCCGTTATTTTCCAGGCTTGCGCCCGCCAGGTTTGGGCCTCAGGTCGTTTTCACTAAACCACGTTTTACTAAAGGGGGTTCTGTCCATCCCCGAAAGTTCTTTCCCGCACTGGTTCGACCCCAAGGTGTCTCCCAGCTGGGGAAGGGACGAAAGAACAAGGTCATCGTAAACCGTTGTCTGCGCGGACCCCTTGGATCGGCGCTGGATTCCCTTGGCGGTGCCTTCGGCGCCCCCCATGGCGCGCTCCGCGCGCCATGGAGGGGGTGAGGGTCAGGGGCAACGCCAGGGGGGGATAGGCATAATCAGGGCGGGGGGGGTGCATCGATCCCCAATCGCCCGTTGATCGCCGACACGGGCCCGATAGCCCCAACCTGCCCAGGAACGTGCGGATTCACGATTCGCGATCGGGGGCCTATCGCCGATCCATCGGCGACGGATCGCCAATTCAAGGCCGATGTGTCCCCCCCTGTGCCAGTCCCCCCCCCCCGTGTCGCTGCCCCTCAGAGGGGCGCAGCGCCGATCCAAGAGAATCCCTGCGGACCTGGCCGCCTCTGCCCGGCCGCAACAGAGAGGCCTCTCGTCACTGCGGCGGGGCTGCACCCTGCCACCCTGCTGGGATGGGCGCGCCGGGGTTGCTGAGGGGAGCAGTGGGTGCCACTCGGCGGCAGTCGAGGGGGGGAAGTGAGGAGGAGAAGGCCTCCTCAGAAGGCGGCGGGACCTTTCAGGAGCCCTTGCGCCGCCCTCTGAGAGAAGTGTTCCGCGTCTTCGGGGAAGGCTTAGCGAATCCTTCCCGGAAGGCCGGGGGCCTTCCGAGCCCTCTGAGAAGGCCAGCTCCGTCCCATTTCCCCCCGGGCTCGCCACCGAGCCAAGGTGGTTTGTGTCTGGCCTGGCTTGGCGCAGAAGTGGGTTACAACTGCCGGATGTGGCTTAGAGGGGGGCTGTCGATCCGTGCTAAGTGGGTTCCGCCCGCTTAGCGGAGTTATCCAACCCCCTTAAGCCATTTGTGGCAGTTGCGGACATAACTCACGTTGGCATCCACCGATAAACCGCTTGTCCCCAGAGATCCAACGCATTGAAAAATCAAGGCGGAGGTTTCTCCCAGTTTTCGGCCTCTGGGGGCCCTCGCCGGGCCCCAGGGCCGTCAAGAAACGACTCGGAATGAAAACCCTGCCCCGGGGACTGGGCCGAGACTTCCAGGGACCCCGTACTGACAAAAATCACGACCTCGGATCTCTGGGCCCCCCTATCGCAGGAGGAGGAGGAGGAGGAGGAGGAGGATCTTCGAGAAGGAGGAGGAGGAGGAGGAGGAGGAGGAGGAGCCCCCGCGCCCATCCCAGTGAAGCAAGGTCCAGGGGCCGAGCCCGAGAGGAACCTCTGGCGGCCCCACACACCGTCGGCACGGCCCTTTGGGGCCGCGGCTCCTCGGGCCCTGCGGGGCCCTGGCCTCCTCGCGCCCCTTCGGGGCCCTGGCCTGGCACGCCGCGGCCATGGGGGAGCGGGCGCCGACCCGGGCCTCCCGCGCCTCGAGCGTGCCCGCTGCACGGGCGTCTCGGCCTCCCGGCACCCTCCCCGGCGGCCGGTGTCCCATCCTGGGCCGTATTATTCAGACTGCCCCGCGTCGACTCGGAGCCTTCGCCAGAGTGTGGCCCCTTGGTGCAGGCCCACGGGGGCCCCCCGATCGCCGAACGCGATGCGACAGCAGAGGCTGGCGCGCCCAGGTTTGGGCCCCCCGCCGTCCCCAGGAAGCCGCGCATACCGGAGGTCACTCCTGCCTGGGGTCGCTCGCGCGTGCAGCCGACGCCGGCCTCCCGGGTGCCAAAACTAACGACCAACCGGCCGCCCTGGGCTTCTGGGGACGCCAGGCCCTGGCACCACCTGGTGTGGTTGCTGCAGCCTGCTGCCCCAGAGTTTGCGGCCCTTCCCTCGGAGGTGGCGTGTCGTCCTGGCATAAGTGGCCCCAACCCCCGAGATCGAGGAGCAAGCTCAGGATTGAAAAAGACATGTCGTCGGAGACCCTGAGATCCTGGCGTCTCAATTCTTTCGAGCCAGGTTTTCGCTCGATTTCGGGCCCTGGGACCCGCACGGATCGATCCAGCTCGAAAAACGGCGCAGAAAGATGGGGTGGAGCTCTGGTCGTGATGTTTTACAGTCAACCTGCACAGCAAGGATGAGCGATTTTCCAAGGTTACCCGTGCATCCTTCCCCTTCGGCCCATCCTTGGCCGCTTTCGCTGGCCGCGCCCCGCTCGCAGAGTGTCGACACGGCCTTCCAAGGCCCTTTCAGCCTTACCGCGCATCCTTATTAAACACGGGTTGGTTTTACGATGTTGCATATGTTCGTTGCGTCGGATCTCGAAAGACAGGGGGCGGCGCCAACTGTCTCGGCGGGGCCCTCAGAAACGACGACGTCGGAGGCCTGTGTGTGCGCGCCACGGTTAAGCCGGGCCTGTCCCTCTACAGGGGGAATATTCAAAAATTGTTAAAATAGTCGGGGGATTATTTTTTGAGTATTATTTGGCATTCGGGGTGCATTTGTTGGCTATATTTTCTTCCGTCCACAATCCGCCTGTAGGAGGGACACGCCCGACTTCACGCCAGGGGCTCGGGCGCGGCCCGCGCGCGCGACGCAGCCCCAGCCGGCGCCGCCGCTGAGCCCGCCCCCGGCAGCGGAGGCGAGGCCGTGCGAAGCCGCTCGCCGCCAGCGGCCCGGGCCTCCGCCGACTACGAGACCGCCGCCGCCGGCGGCTCCGTGGCGGCAGCCCTGGCGGCGCCGCCCCCGGGCGGCGCCGCCGCGGAAGAGCGCGCCGCCGCGGAGGAGCGCGCCGCGGAGGAGCGGGCGCCCACGGCTGACGCCTCGCTGCCCAGCGTGGGCGACGAGGTGGTGGGCGGGCTGGGCGACGAGGTGCTCGGCGGGCTGACCCTGGACGACCCCATGCCGGACTGGTCCCCCGACGCCAGCGAGGAGAGGTCTCCGGACTGGGTGCCGAGGACGCCGCCGCCAGAGGCCGCCGCGCCGGCGGGGCCCGCGCCGCAGCAGTCCGAGGCCGCTGGGCAGTTGGAGGAGCCGGCCGCGCCGGCCACGCCCGCTGGCGCTGCCTCGGCGGCCGCGCCCGTGGCCCCTCCGCCCTCCCTGCCGCCAGAGCAGCCCAGACGGCCGACAGCGGTGAAGGCTGGCAGGCCCCAGTGCCCCGCCGGCCTCTCCTCCCCCGAGCGGGCCAAGGCGCCGCCGCCTCCGCCCGCACCAGCGGCGCCCGCCAGGCCTGCGGCGCTGCCGCCACCGCCGGCGCCGCCTCCCAGGCCTGCGGCGCCGCCGCCCGCCGCCGCGCCCGCCCCGGCGGAGAGCCGAGGCGAGGCCGAGCACCGCACGAAGCGCCGCCGAAAGCGGGCGCGCGGCGCCGAGCCCGAGGCGTCGCCGCAGCCCGCGCGAGCAGAGGCCGCCGCTGCGCGCGGCGCGCCTCCGCGGCCGCGGCCACGGCGCCGCGGGCGGCTGCCCCGCCCGCGGCTGCGCCGCCCGTGGGCGTGTCGCCCTTTGAGTACAGAGGGCCGCCGGCCAGGCCTGCAGCGCCCTGGCCGCTGGCGGCGGAGCGCCTGCAGCCGCCCGCCCCGCGGCCGCGGCCCGCGGTGGCCGCGCTGGGCCCGGCGGGCGCCGTGGGCGTCCAGGGCGTGCTGCCCGCGGCGGCGGCGGCTCCGCAGCCTGGGAGGCCAGGGCCGCCTGCGCCTGTAGGCCCGGCGCTCGCCGCGGGCGCTCGGGGCGCGCTGCCCGCGACGGCGGCCCTGCAGCCTGGGAGGCCCAGGGCCGCCCGTGGCGCGAGCGGTTCCCCTGAGATCCAGGCGTTGCTGCTCGTTCACACCCGGCGCTTTCGCCCGGCCTCGGGCCCCTGGCACACATGGCAGCTCAGTCTGTGGTTCGGGACACGCAGCAGAGGCTCGAGGCCCCGGGGCCCTGGTCGTGATACGTTCGCAGTGCTGTTTTTCTTGTCTGCGCAACGTCGGATCTCAGGCCTCCTCGCGTCGCGAGCGACGGAAGATGTGCAGCCTCCGGGGAACCCTCGCCGGGCCCCGAGGCCGTAAAGGGAAGGATTCGGGGTGAAGAGCTGGCCCCCGGGAAGGGGCAGGCCTCCCGAGCTGGATCGAATCGCAAAATAGGATCGGAAACAGATCGGATGGATTGCGAACAGCTTCGCGAACCGAATCGAGATGCGATGCGCGCCTGGTTCCGATTGGCCCTGGCCAATTCCA